TGGTCTAGATAAGACAGCTCCCACTGGCCCATATGAGGCAGCTCCTATTGGTCCATGCGAGGAAGCTCCTATTTATACCAACAAAACTCATTCACATACATGTCTAGCCAACAGTTGAAACAATCCAGTGATGTCATGTCAATTACATGGTACCTTACCTTGAGGTTACCTTGAGATGATTTCGAGGCTTAGCGTCCCTGCATATCCTCGACCAGGCCTCCTCATACAGGAAATAGTACATGGTAATTACATTATTCCATAAATCTACGACCCTATTCCTATCTTTCTAGTGGAACACAAATTATGGATATTTTTCACCCTTATAAGATGGCCGACTTCAGTTTCTATACTGTACAGTACTATAAACTCGGTCTATAAAGCCATATTGACTCGGTTTTCACAAGTCAATATGACTTACGTCAATATACATTTTTTCATTATAGAAACTTATGAGAAATGGGTTCTAATCATAAGTGCCTATAATTACCAAAATTTGACATTTCTCTATTACTTTGTACTAAAAAGATAAACCTTGTTATTATACAAAATTAACTGATTAAAAGAATTTTGGCGCAAGAAACAACATCACTCACAAAAATATTTATAATAAATATGTTTCACAGCATTTTTTGTGTGTTTTTCAGTTTTCTGTAAAATATGAATTATTTTTTCTTGAATCTTATAAGAGAACGCTTTAAATTACGGGTAAACACTCCCCTTAAAATTTCAGGACTTACGATGAAATTCTGTAGACCTAAGGACATGTGTGGAAACTTGCATAAACATTTTTTCCAGATCTATTCAATATTTTATATTCCTATAAATATATTTTTCCTCTACCATTTGTTTAAGTGTGTATACAGGTGGCAGTTTCCTGGAACAGTTGAGCTCTCGAAGGGTTAAGCATATTTAACTTTTACCAACACTTATGCTACCAAAAGAAATTAAATATGAAATTATTATCATGCAGAGCGCAAGGCAACACAGCTACTGCATTGGTTATCATGCAGAGTGCAAGGCATCACAGCTACTGCATTGGTTATCATGCAGAGTGCAAGGCAACACAGCTACTGCATTGGTTATCATGCAGAGTGCAAGGCAACACAGCTACTGCATTGGTTATCATGCAGAGTGCAGGGCAACACAGCTACTGCATTGGTTATCATGCAGAGTGCAAGGCAACACAGCTACTGCATTGGTTATCATGCAGAGTGCAAGGCAACACAGCTACTGCATTGGTTATCATGCAGAGTGCAAGGCAACACAACTACTGCATTGGTTATCATGCAGAGTGCAGGGCAACACATCTAATGCATTGGTTATCATGCAGAGTGCAAGGCAACACAGCTACTGCATTGGTTATCATGCAGAGTGCAGGGCAACACAGCTACTGCATTGGTTATCATGCAGAGTGCAAGGCAACACAGCTACTGCATTGGTTATCATGCAGAGTGCAAGGCAACACAGCTACTGCATTGGTTATCATGCAGAGTGCAAGGCAACACAGCTACTGCATTGGTTATCATGCAGAGTGCAGGACAACACAGCTACTGCATTGGTTATCATGCAGAGTGCAGGGCAACACAGCTACTGCATTGGTTATCATGCAGAGTGCAGGGCAACACAGCTACTGCATTGGTTATCATGCAGAGTGCAAGGCAACACAGCTACTGCATTGGTTATCATGCAGAGTGCAAGGCATCACAGCTACTGCATTGGTTATCATGCAGAGTGCAAGGCAACACAGCCACTGCATTGGTTATCATGCAGAGTGCAAGGCAACACAGCTACTGCAATGTTATCATGCAGAGTGCAAGGCAACACAGCTACTGCATTGGTTATCATGCAGTGCAGGGCATCACAGTTACTGCATTGGTTATCATGCAGAGTGCAGGGCAACACAGCTACTGCAATGTTATCATGCAGAGTGCAGAGCAACACAGCTACTGCATTGGTTATCATGCAGAGTGCAGGGCAACACAGCTATTGCATTGGTTATCATGCAGAGCAGCAGACCATTCAGCATTCTATTGATGTGTACAACTGAATATTTAGCATTACTTCAGGCTCTGTTACATCAGATGCCAACAAAAATAGCCTCATTTTCCATTTAATAAAGTGGATAGAAATTTGGAGTTCATATTCTCCCCTCCACTAAAGCCCAAGTGTTTGCCACCCTGTGAATGTGAGAAGTAGGGGTAAAGTTGATGACATTGTCTCCTTAAAGGTTGAGAGAGCACAACTTCTAAGCAGTTGTTCCCTCGTATACTCAGAGTGAGTATAAATATGTTGCATTTTGTTTCCTAACACCTATAACTATAATTAACCTTCTCTAATCAACCACTTTTCACAACGGGTCTTCTAGAGACAAAGTTCCCAATTTGACGTCCTCAAGTATGCATCGAACTCAAAACATGCCTTCTTATGCTTCAACCCTTAGAGACAGAAGCATTTTTTGCTTTCTGTAATGCCAGGACACAATGTCTTCAAGAACATAAGAGGTTTAAAAGCTCCAGGTACCACAAGCTAGGAAACAAGGACTCAAAATTTCCAATATCACTCTCACAGACACATCTGGACCATTATAAAGTTGTGGTTCGTATCTTATCGATTTTGCTCTTTGCCAATGTACATGTCACTTCTAATTAATTGTCAGCATTCCTTTACAAAAAAAATACCTCACAATAAAAGAGTAGATAATCTTAAATAAGCTGCTATGTCTTTTATTGTTTATAATGTATCTATTAATGACGATAGAATTTAATAAACTGTTGTCATGTAAACTGTATTTTTCATGTAGAGCATTGAGCAATATCATAAATGGACATGACATTTTTATTATACAATATATATATATATATATATATATATATATATATATATATATATATATATATATATATATATATATATATATATATATATATAATTATAATGAATACAGGTTATATTATTATTATGATTTTCTTGTACAAATGAATAATGTGCTTAAATTTTATGTAAACTAACTCAATTATAAATGTATAATCATTTATGAATAAAGCATTTGATTTATGGCCATTTGCTTAATTGGATAAAATCTTCATGTGCAATATTTGGTCACAAATGACCTAAGAAAGCATCAAAGAAAGCATCTAAGAAAGCCTAAGACCTAAGAAAGCATCTTGTGAGCAGTCTTGACCATCTCATATATTACCCTTGTCATGCGTGTTAAACATTGACCCAATCCCAGTCTGTGTCCTCGTTGGTGCATCAGGTTCTAGTGAAGATGATAACCTACGTTTAACTATACTGTACAGTACAGTGGAACCTCAAAAATCCAGTTAATATTGTTCAGAATGGTCCAGGATGGACCGAAACGTCGTCGTCCCTTCACCTTCTATTGTGTGGTCTGGTCAACATATTGTGCAGGACTTGTAAATTTTCTGAACTTTCAAATACTGTACCAAGTTTCTTAATTCGTGTGAATTTGTGAATTTTGATTCTTAATTTGTGAACTTTCAAATACTTTGCAAATACTGTACTAAGTTTCTTAATTTGTGTTCTCACCAAAATTTATAAAATACTGTACATTTTTTCTGTTTTCGTACTAAAAAAATAAACAAAATAAAAGGGGATTTAAAAATTATAAGCAATATAATATTATACAGTACAATACTGTACCTACCTTTTTGTAAACCCAGTTTATCCACATAAATTGCCTGATCCACTTTATCAACATTTAAGCCACTCAATGTTTTCTCTACTAATGTTTCCAGCAGACACACTCAGACCTTCACAAAGCACTCAAGAGTGTGAAAGACTTGCTGTAAACTCCTTACCTAAATTTCACAAATACACAAGAGTGGGTCTTCATCCTATGTTATTATGTTTGTGAGAATACTGTACATTAACATTACTAATTGAAATTGATGTTACGTATCATTATAATAATATTGAATAATAATTTTGTCAGTAGAGCAGCAAGCTCCGCAGTCTTGAAATGTTTACCATACAGTATTTTATTTCCAATCAGCTGTTTATTGTTCTACGTTACTTTTGAGCATATGTAAATGTAACCCAGTCACTCCTGTACCGTACGGTGGATTTTTTCTTAGATTTTAACATGGTTGCTACACTTCTTTTTCAATGACTTTGTCTACTTTTATTTGCAACTTCATGATAGGGGATACATGCAATATCTACAATAAGTCTGCAGCCAATATCACTAGATTACCAAAGATACAAAGGAGTCCTTCCAGGTAAAATTCTGTGTTACATTATGGTGCTAGGCTCCACCCACTCGTGAGGAATGTCATACGAACATTCTGCGTTACATTATGGTGCTAGGCTCCACCCACTCGTGAGGAATGTCATACGAACATTCTGTGTTACATTATGGTGCTAAGCTCCACCCACTCGTGAGGAATGTCATACGAACATTCTGTGTTACATTATGGTGCTAAGCTCCACCCACTCATGAGGAATGTCAAACGCACATTCTGTGTTACATTATGGTGCAAAAATTCATGTCTGAAAAATATTTGTAAGTCAGTGGTACATAATGCCCATTCCGAGTACGAGTTTGCCAATTCTCATGCAATTCATCAATAATAAAAACTAAAGATGACCTTGAGTTTTATTTTGACTGCTCTAGATTATTCACAAGCATATTATATTCATGTGTAATATAATAGCGGTCTTTTGAGTTCACTAACACTGAGAACCACAATATGAAGTGCTTGTGGAAGACAGCAAAGGCCTAGATGAATTGACTTTTAATTTCCCTTGTGTAACACGTCTGCCTGTAAGGATAATCAATACATTTCCACTTGGTCGTATATATATGTATAATAATAAGTAACAATTTGACCTACACTGTAAATAGAGAATATACAGTACTGTTCTGTATACATTTCTTTAACATTTGCTTAATATAAATAGAATTTGTGAATGTATATATATATATTGTGGATGTCACTGCAACACTGTTTTATATATGTGGAAATAAATGTGGCAAAATCTTTTTGTATTTTATTTAACAATGCAGAAGGGGTCTCAAGTACACTAAGACAAGGAGTACAAACTGCACCTCTTTGTACGCACCCTCTCTTCTCCTCCCCAACACAATGACTCAAGCGGACTCCTCCACATATTTCATCCCCCTACATTATTTTGCACATTTCTCCAACCTTCCTTGCAGTCACATACTCTCAGCAAACACCTAACTTAATAATTATGCCTTTGTATCTCTGGTGATTATCACACATCATCACCCTCATAGAAGCTAATGATTTAAAACACTTTTTGTCAGTAAATTTGCTGATAGTGTTCAAGCACAAATATTAAACTAAATGGTAAAAGAATCAGTCAAGATCACTGTCGCCCGTGAAGAGGTCACGATGCTTACAAAATTGAACAATGAATCATTCTAAATTTTATCATATAATTATATATTTAAAAGCTTTGTTAAATGTAAATTTAAAACATAGAAAAGGATGCCCTAAAGATAATGATAAAAATAAGACTAAGATATTAGAATGTAAAGAAAAATAAGCCTCTGGCTTGGGTGAATGCCTTACACCAGCAATGGACATGCATTACGAGAAGTTAAACAACACGTAATGCCCTCCACCCCCCTCCCCCCAATTAACATGCACGACAAGAAGTTAAACCACACGCAGCATTAAGGGGGAAAAATCTTTTATCATTATTGTCTCATTTTTTTGTTTGTGTTTTGTTGAGTGTGCAGCCTGAGACAGGATCATCTCCCGATGTTTCACTAACCTTCACAGGTAGACACACACCAAGCCTGAGACAGGCTCCTTCCCTGTCTCCCCTGTCAATGAAGAAAAAAGGCTTCACCAGCCTTCAGAGGCACACACCTCAAGGACCATTTCAAACATTTCACTGCCATTTGAGCACAAATAAGTGTAGAAAAACTTTGACTTTAAAAGAACTGGACGACCTTTGCCACCTATTGCTTTCACACTTGATGTTATCACTTAAAAAAATAATGTAGGTAGACAACTACCATCTATGAAGTTCACTGAAATTTGATAACATAATTTATTTCCACAGCACAAACACGCATACAAATGGACAATTAAATGAGATATTCATGGCTTACCTCTTACTGTATATGGATATAAATGATATCACTCTGGGCAGAATTATATAATGCAACACGAAGCCCCCGAATACAGTTAATTACAAATGCATACAACTGATACCCTGTGTCAGGTTTTCTCAACTAAATTAGCACAGAAAGCTTGAGATTACTTTACAGTATAAATCTGCCTTCACAACAAGAGGTGTGGAATGCTCGGTACGGAGGCCCTGCCTGCCGACCACCCGCACCGTGCTGCGTCGCCACAAGCCGCTACGTTAACACACGTCAATCACTGGGACGGAAGTACTCAAGGTACTCAAGTTATTTTGGCAAGTCTATCCATGAGCATTATACAACTAAGCGGAATGCTATAACCCAAATATGAGGAATGAGTAACACATTCCCTGCAACACTACATTCCTCTCCCTCCATAACATGCCAACAAAGTTGATAATTTTCAGATATTAACTTATTTGAAATTACTGTACAAAGCAAATATTTCCACACAAGAAGATTTTATCATATTATAATAGCCTGACTGTTATATCATGTTCAACACACTGAGGCAGTGTTGAACACCGCCTCAGTGTTATAGCATGTTCAACACACTGAGGCGGTGTTGAACACCGCCTCAGTGTTATAGCATGTTCAACACACTGAGGCGGAGTGGAACACCTCCTCAGTGTTATAGCATGTTCAACACGCAGCTTCAGTGTTTTCAATATGCGGAGAAGAAAACAACTTGGGAGTTAAGCATCACAGGTTCGAACACTTCTTTTTCCAAACTTAATAACCAGACTGTACTGAGATGAAGCTAAGTCCTCCTGAACACTATTTCAGTCATGCTCATATCTCCTGTACTCTGCTGGACATTTCCTGTACTGTGCTCTACATGTTAACATTTATTACTCGGTTTTACACCCAAACATTGCCTTTAACGTGTGTTCTAAATGTGTTTAATTGATAAAGGATTATAATGCCGTACAGGTTCTCTGGCTTATTCCCTACATGCCTTATGTGATAGTTGCAGGTACACACTTCTGAACAACAATGCCATCCATATGAACAATGAGATCAGTGTTCGGAACACAGTCTGCTATGATGTTCCTTGCCTATGTGGTCACTGCCATAGGGATATCATGGCCTCTGTCTCTATTATTATTACCTTATGTTCCCCACATCGAGGCTCTGTTCATTGCAAACAATACACAAGTTTTGAGTAAGCTTTGTCCTTAACTGAAGGAAGTTTCACCCATTAAATACTTCTCTGCAATCTGATACAGTTTGACTACACCAATCATGTCTTCAGATGCAACAGCAAACTACACTGGAAAAGTTCTTCCATCTACTGGCTTTATCTAAAGCATTCATCTTTTTTTATCAAATTTACATCAAAACATAAGTGCAAAATGTCAAAATCAAATGGGAAGTTTTTTGTAGCATCATAAATATTGTACCGAACAAATCAACACAAAAAGTTTTAAATCCCTTACACAAAGCCACTGAAGAACTTTGATGCTTGTAAAACCACACGTGTATCTTTTTCTCACTCGGGGGTTCCAAGACTGTAAAGAACACGGTAGTGTGCACTCGTTTCTTCAGACATACAACACAACTACGGATATATTTATACTTTGTGACAACACACTTTCAACACATCCATCACCTTATCTCTCAGAATGTTCGGTAATATGTTTATTGTTTGTGATGTGTGTCTATATATGTATGAACACGTTGTACTGAACAGGGTGAGAATAGCTTGAGCTACCTCATCCCTTTGTGTGTATTTTACCTCAATAAACTTATTTCAATTTCATCCATCACCCCCAACAAAGAATTAGTGTTAATTCCTTTCAACAGTGAACTTCATCTGACTCCTTTTGAGTTACAAGCATTGAAATTTTCTGTTTACCATAAATTAGTAAAATATTTGCACTTTCATAATATTGTGGAAACATTTAAAATTAAAATAAAACATTTTCTCTGGCATGAACATATCTATGGTATAGAAGTAATAAGCAAATCTTACCACTCTTCATAGATTACAAACTGTATAACCAAATTTAACAAACACTTCAGTCCTCCTTAAAAGCAAAGCATTAGAAAACTAGGTTTTTGGCTGTTTCCTACCTACTCCAAACCAGCCAAAGATACATCACCAGGAACTAGTCGGCGGGTGCTACAGAGTCTCGGGTTCCGAGAAGCACACCACACCCGGATGCAAGACAGGAGGCTGTGTCGTCCTCTTGAACACCTTAAAAGAAAAAATTTAAGAATGACGCATTTCACATTTAACTGTCTTGCCGAGAGGTTTGCTTCAAGACAAGTGTCTAGCAGAAGCTAGGAGAAATAAAGGGGTATATGCAGACGAAGAGTCATAGCAACGTGGCTGAAATATGTTGACCAAACCACACACTAGAAAGTGAAGGGCCGACGACGTTTCGGTCCGTCCTGGACCATTCTCACAATCGGCTTGAGAATGGTCCAGGACGGGCCGAAATGTCGTCATCCCTTCACCTTCTAGTGTGTGGTTTGGTCAACATAAAGGGGTACATGATTCAACTGTACAAAATACTAAGGGGAATTGATGAAAAAAAGAATGTTTAGGTTGAGCAGTAACATAATTACAAGACATGCATGGAAACTAGACGCAGATAATTAAATGAATGTGGGGAAACACTTCATTGCAACGGCAGTAAGTGAAATGGCCTAAAAGGGTAAACACATAGTATAGGCCACCTCCATCCATGGTTTAAAAAGCAGATATGACATGAAACAGAAGGGTCGGGAGTCATGTCATTTGATGACAAACGGATGTAAAGAAAAGGCTCAGGACCTAAGCTGGTCCTGCATACCACTGCTACACTGTTTACCTGGGTTCATGCCTTCTCGGGACATGAAAGTGGAAAATACGGTAACGATGATGAAGGTGATAATGATCTTTATTTACTGTCCTGTGATGTCATATTTTTAAGCGATGCTCTATTCTTCTCCACAGTAAATGTCATGTTATAGAAATATTAAACAAATGAATAAAAACTGGATAATTCTTATGCTTAGCTAATTTTAACCACCATTCTCTCTACATAATCTGAGTTAGTGCCATTTTACTGTATACGAAGTGGGCTTTCATGGTGCAAACAGGATCACTGATAGAGTGAGAAGCCTTACCTCATCCAAGAAGTGAGCCAACACTTGATAATAACCAGGGCATTTCCACGTCTCGTTGTGTGAACCCTGAGTGAACTGCATGAGGCGTTTTGCTGGTGATGCACAACAGTGGTACAGTTCCATCATCATGCGAGGAGGCACCAGGGAGTCCGCCTGGCCCGAGAGGAATAACGTTGGCACAACCACTCGGCACATTTTGTATTTAGACAGGTACTGTCAAGATGGAAATTACAATATGAACTTTAAAACAGTGGACAAATATTGTTCCTATCGTTGTACATCTAAATTAGTAAATGTCTATATACAGAACTTACAACCTAAGCTCACCTCTAGCCCAGTGCCAACAACAAAAAAATACAAATAAAAAATGCCTTAGAAAAATTATCCAAATTGTCCAACAGAAAAAATCCAAAATGCCCCCAACCTCACCCCCCCAAAAATCCCAAGCAGTCAACAAAAAGATGCTAAACACCAGCAAAAAGAGTGCCTAATGCCCAACAAAGAAAAATCTAAATGCTTCAACGTTTCATTGGGCATTTAGCATTTTTTTGTTGGCCATTTGCCACTTTTTTGTTGGGCTTTTGCCACTTTGTAGTTGAGCATTTGCCACTTTTTTGAAGGGCATTTGCCACTTTTTTTGTTGGGCATTTGCCCCTTTTTTGTTGGGCAGTTGGGAGTTTGTTCTTTAGGCTTTAGGGTGTTTTTGTTGTTGTTGGTCATTTTAGACTTTTATTGGGCATTTTGGATTTTTTCTTGTGCACTTTTGGGTTTTTTCTTGGGCTTTTTGAAATTTTTGTTTGGCATTTTGTATTTTTTCCTTGGGAATTTTGGATTTTGTTCCAGCCATTTTTTTCTTGGGCATTTAGCATATTTTTGTTGGGAGAGCGGAGGGAATTATCAGGGGAAAGCATCAAGCCATTATGACTATACAATAAATGTCCCGAAAAAGTTACAAAAATAGAACATATTGTTTATAGAGAAGGATGTACAAAAGCAATATTACTGTAGAACAAAAGCATTAAGCATAACATGGAGATCTTACCATAATACAAAAGCAGTACACATAATATGGCGATCTTATTATGCGGCAGTACATACAGTATGGTGATGTATTATACAGTAGTACAAAAGTAGTATGCATAACATGGTGATCTTACTGTAGTACATGAGCAGTATGCACAAGACACAGATCTTACTGTAGTACATGAGCAGTATGCGCAAGACACAGATCTTACTGTAGTACATGAGCAGTATGCACAAGACACAGATCTTACTGTAGTACATGAGCAGTATGCACAAGACACGGATCTTACTGTAGTACATGAGCAGTATGCACAAGACACAGATCTTACTGTAGCACAAGACCAGTATGCACAAGACACAGATCTTACTGTAGCACAAGACCAGTATGCACAAGACACAGATCTTACTGTAGTACATGAGCAGTATGCACAAGACACAGATCTTACTGTAGCACAAGACCAGTATACATAAGACACAGATCTTACTGTAGCACAAGACCAGTATGCACAAGACACAGATCTTACTGTAGTACATGAGCAGTATGCACAAGACACAGATCTTACTGTAGCACAAGACCAGTATACATAAGACACAGATCTTACTGTAGTACATGAGCAGTATGCACAAGACACAGATCTTACTGTAGCACAAGACCAGTATACATAAGAGGTTCAACTTACCTTATTTTTGTGGCACCAGTGAGGTAATTTAGCAAGAAGTTTCACACCAGAGAAGAGCACCTTAGCCATCTCTGGTATAGAAGTGAAGGTGTTCTCCAGCACCACCGCGGCTACTCTGCTGCTGATCTCGGACCGGCTCACACAATCCACCGCCACTGCTCCACCTCAAAAGTCATGTTCTGCTGTTAAACAGTGCAGGTGATATAGACGTCAGTACCTAACAATTATGTATTCACTCAACGACCATTAGACTTCAATGAGACAAATTTCTCCACACAGTCCTTTCCTACATTTACGGGAGGAGAGCTATCCCTAATTCTTGCAAGATGTAATGCATCTTATTACTCATAATAATTATTGTTATTAGTGCTCATGCCTTTCTCCATCGGGAGGACACCACATGCTTCACTCCTTCAGGAGGGCACCACATAGCTCACTCTTCAAGAAGGGGCACCATATACACCACTTGTCTAAGAGGGGCACCATATGCCCCACTCCTTCAGGAGGGGCACCACATATCACTGATTACCTTCACAGCCATTTAAAAGCACAAATAAACACAAACTTCTTACCTAAAGATCTACCAAATACTATAATTTTATTTTGATCTATATCTGATCTGGTCTTGAGGTAGGATATAGCAGCTTGAGCATCAAGATAGAGACCTTCCTCGGAGGGTGTGCCCTCACTTAGTCCATAGCCGCGGTACTCCAACAACAGAAGGTTGATTCCCAGCCATCTATACATTCCGTACACATTGCTTAGCCTGAATAAACAAAATATCACATTAAATACAGGAGGTAGAAGGTCAACACAAGCAAGTATTGTGAGCAACATGAAGAATGCTAATGACAGTACTGTACCCTGCACTAACAAAACTAGCAGCTCATATACTAATAAATTGGAACCATTTTAAGTTTGAAGGAAAATATGACAAAATCCATAAACATTGGGAGCTGTAATGAATGATTCTTATATTACAAATCTCCACAACATCCATATACAGTAATCTAGTGATAATTTTATGGTTTTGACAATAAAGGTAAAGTTTAGAGTACTGTACTGTATATAGCAAGAACACCTTTGAGCATATTCCCTTTGTTACTTTCAAGTTAAGAATTTACGGGTGTTAGACTGAATTCATGAACATTCAATGCTGCAGCGTTCTCTATCAACAACCCTGCAGAGCCATATAAAGTGACACGACCACACTGAAGAAAGGCTCAATCCACCCAAAATTACCATCGGATGTAAGGTTTGAAAACCTGCTTGATACCTGCTTGATGGGGTTCTGGGAATTCTTCTACTCCCCAAGCCCGGCCTGAGGCCAGGCTCGACTTGTGAGAGTTTGGTCCACCAGGCTGTTGCTTGGAGCGGCCCGCAGGCCCACATACCCACCACAGCCCGGCTGATCCGGAACTTCTCTTAGAAAAGGGTCCAGTTTTCTCTTGAAGATGTCCACGGTTGTTCCGGCAATATTTCTTATAGTCGCTGGGAGGACGTTGAACAACCGCGGACCTCTGATGTTTTACTTGCTTTTTGCCAGTCTGACCACCAGCCACCGACCCCCAGACTGTACCACCAACACTTCCCAGGCTCCCCAGACCTGGTTCACTTCACATTCTCATTGATGCAAACACAAAATCTGCATACTGAAGAGAGCAGGAGACAATGATCTTATTTCTAAGTTATCATGTTAGGTTGTTCCATAAGGTTAGCCTCAGGAAACACTTTATTGATGCCACCATATTACCTATGAAGCAGTTGAAAAATACAATAGTCTACAATAGTTGAAAACTGAGGCTGTCAGCACTAAAACTTCAACATATGAGCTTAGTGGCTGCTTCATAAGCAGCATTTGTATGACATTCCAGCATGCTGCACCATGCATAGGTTCATTGATTACCATAGAGCGCCTGACAGCTGGGTGGACAGCGCTTCAGACTACACTGCAAGCAAGCAGTTTATGAAGCCTCACTTCACAGTCACTTCTGAGAATTCGGTAGAGATTTGAGTCTTTGTTAATGTACTGTATCTCTCATGATCATTCTGGTTGAGAATAAAGCTTTTCTCCATTGCCTTTCTGAAACCTTATATGACCTGCAGGGATGTTAGATCCCGATAGCATTGGTGCCTCAATGTCGTAAGGACTCACCATCTGTGAATCAGATTCATGACAGCAAATTATTACTGTAGGAAGAACCCAAATACAATAGCTTAGGAAGTCAGACATTAGCACTTCACCTGTGACCTAGATTGCCAGCATTGCCGTGGAGATATACAAAGGTTGGCGCAGACTTCACAGCCATGGAATCCTGCTTGACAAAAACGGCATGAAGTTTGGTCCCATCACGTGCGTATAAAAACAGGTTCTCCGATGGTAAGCCTATGGAAGAGGGAGTCTGTACTAACACACGAGAGTCTGGAGGAAAGTTGGGCCAGTAGACGAGAAGGTCGCTGATCTGGTACACCACTCCTGTAGGTAAAACGTACAAATGTCGGAAAGGCAGCTTGAAACGATACAAAGAAAACAAAGAGGAAGACACCCTTAACCCCTTCACTGCACAAAGCGCCTTTAGGCACTCTGAGCGTTGTGCTTTTTGGTTTTTAATTAGGCTTTATTTTAATGTTTTTTAATTTTTCATTACTCTTTGTGTTTTGAAATTGAAAAAGTGGACTTTCAAAACATTGACATTAATTTTACCTGAATATTTATAAAAACAACAAAAATATGTCCTTAACAATTGCACCAAGACGTTTTTGCCGAAAATGGGTGAGCAGTGCAGGGGTTAAAGTACCATAACGTAATTACTTTCCGAGTCATTTATAAACAATTACTGAAACACAAACACATTAGTTAACTTTATTCTCTGACAGGATCATAAATTTCTCACCTGAGAAGGCGAACAGAAGGAGAACGAAGGCCAGGAGTCCTCCGTAGAGCCAGAAAAGTACAAATATTAAAATAATCACGGTTCCTGATGTAAAGCAAAACTTTCTCATCACTGTCAGTACCAGCCCTGCTACAAACTTGATCACTGCAAAGTCTGCTTTCTGCTTCGGGGTCATGTCATCTTCACAGTGGTGGTGGTGGTGACAAACTCTTGGTCGTGGTGGCGGGTTTGGCAGTAAACATGGTTCCCCACTCTCCAGGTCGCTCGAAGCCATGGTGGTTGGCCTAACCATTGGTGTCAGGAATGTATTTCGTTCAGATTTGGAACAGGCAGTGTATATAAAATTTCATACAACACACAATTTCTTCACTGTCATAATTCTATCTGTTAATGTTGTTGGTTTTGATAAAATTTCTCCCTAATCTGTAACAAGGTTGAGTTTCTACCAAGAATGTTTCCATCCCAATCTCTTACAAAAATGTTCTTGAAAATCTCAGTGTTCCTAGAAGCCGGCAGTTCCTGGGAGCTTCCATTCCTGAGGGAGATGAGAAGATGAGAACATAAATATCTCCAGTACTCTACAGTACACCATAGGCTATATAAACTCTGCAACCTATTCATATTTTCCCAAATTACTTTAAGTTTCTTTGGTTTGATCTGCAAGACTTACGAAAGAATGTAGTCTCTGCGTAGGTAAAATCATTAGGTAAAGATTGCAGATTGGAACCAAATGTAGCCTTACCTAACAACATTTAGGAATAGGCCTTTCAGGCCAAGCAAGGCAGGCCAATCAAAATAAATACTCTATCGCTTCCAAACTTTCAACAAATAAGTGCTGTTGTTGGCTAAGGCTGAGAACATAATGTTCTGCGTTTCAGTTGAATCTGATCAGAATGTTACAAGTAATTTACAGGTTAATGCAATATCTCAAGAGATCCCTCTCACCCTGGCCAAGTTCTCTACCATATGCTCAGTATTCCTGCCGGGGAAGCTTTTGTCCTCCCACACACTCACTAACTTCCTTACAGTGTACCAGTTACACCTTGGGAGCCGGTCGGCCGAGCGGACAGCACACTGGACTTGTGATCCTGTGTTCAATCCCAGGCGCCAGCGAGAAACAATGGGCAGAGTTTCTTTCACCCTATGCCCCTGTTACCTAGCAGTAAAATAGGTACCTGGGTGTTAGTCAGCTGTAACAGGCTGCTTCCTGGGGGTGGAGGCCTGGTCGAGGACCGGGCCGCGGGGACACTAAAGCCCCAAAACCATCTCAAGATAACCACCTGCTGGGGAAGCCCTTGTCCTCCCCCCCCCCACACACACACACACACTCACTAACACCCTTACAGTGTACCAGTTACTCCTGCTGGGGAAGCCCTCCTTCACCCTGCCAGCCACTCACCAACTTGTGTATAGCGTGCTGGTCACTCCTGGCCAAGCTCTCCACACCCTCACCAACACTACCGTGTGTTCTTGGCCCGTTACTCCCTCAGGAGAAGACACTGCTCATTAAACCTGTCCGAGGAAAAACTCTTGAGACTTTCTTGGGTTACTCTCTGGGCTCCTTGGAGTTTATATAGAGGGTTCTTCCTCCTCACACGGCAGGTTGGTGTTTTGTTTTGAAGGATCAGATGACGCAATCAGTGAGGGTGAGGGAGGGTTCCGGAAGACATAAGAACATCGATTACTCTCCCAATAGTGGGTCAGAAGCCGCTTGTAGGGCGCCAGATCCTTTATACTACAGCATCTGACACTCTTTCTCTTCCTCTCCCTCGTACTTATAGCTACTCAAGTCACCGCAGCTATATGTAAATATTTTGTTTGTAAATATCTGTTTTTGTTGTTGTTCGTTTACTGTCCTCGCTCGTTAACTGTACTTGTTACATATTGTAATTGTTCATTTACGTTTATTGTTCTAACTTGCTTACTTTCCTTCCTTGTGTGCTGTCCTCCTTCGCTATCTCTCCTTACAAACCAAGTAACAGTATATTTATGTAATATTATGTATAAGAAGGTTAGGTAAGGTCGGTGTTTTCTATGAAGCTTTTCAAGGTAAACTAAAATATTCACAATCAATTAGTATGTCACATATGCACTTATTTAATAAGCCAATATTTACTATAAGCAAGTGCCAGAACGAGTTGCACACTGCAGTGTAAAAGCCTCACAAAGAAAATAACATTGAGGTATAAAGTTTATATTATACAAATTGCTTATTTACAATTTTCATGACCTCAGAATATGACTTTTGAGACAGCAAATTTATGTAGAAGTAAATCATTTGTTTGCTAAATTTTATGCATGTTAAACTCAATGCATTTAGATGTTCTTGTGTGGACTCATAAGGTTATAAAAACTCTATTATAACAAATCATACAAAATTCTTTATTCTGATTACAATGTTAACATGTGTCCTTAATGTTACAGGTGGTCACACTGTGTTAATATGTGTCCTTAATGTTACAGGTGGTCACACACAGTGTTAACATGTGTCCTTAATGATACAGGTGGTCACACTGTGTTAATGTGTCCCTAATGTTACAGGTGGTCACACACAGTGTTAACATGTGTCCCTAATGTTACAGGTGGTCACACACTGTGTTAACATGTGTCCCTAATGTTACATGTGGTCATACATAATGTTAATATGTGTCCTTAATGATACAGGTGGTCATACACAATGTTAACATGTGTCCCTAATGTTACAGGTGGTCACACAGTGTTAACATGTGTCCCTAATGTTACATATGGTCATACATAATGTTAATATGTGTCCTTAATGATACAGGTGGTCATACACAATGTTAACATGTGTCCCTAATGTTACATGTGGTCATACATAATGTTAATATGTGTCCCTAATGTTACAGGTGGTCACACACAGTGTTAACATGTGTCCTTAATGATACAGGTTGTCACACAGTGTTAACATGTGTCCCTAATGATACAGGTGGTCACACACAGTGTTAACATGTGTCCTTAATGATACAGGTTGTCACACACAGTGTTAACATGTGTCCTTAATGATACAGGTTGTCACACAGTGTTAACATGTGTCCCTAATGATACAGGTGGTCACACACAGTGTTAACATGTGTCCTTAATGATACAGGTGGTCACACACAGTGTTAACATGTGTCCTTAATGATACAGGTGGTCACACTAATGTTAACATGTGTCCCTAATGATACAGGTGGTCACACTAATGTTAACATGTGTCCCTAATGATACAGGTGGTCACACTAATGTTAACATGTGTCCCTAATGATACAGGTGGTCACACTAATGTTAACATGTGTCCCTAATGATACAGGTTAATGTTACATAAATATATACTTTATCGAGCAGGATTTTGAATTGAAGGTGTTGAGGATGCTGTGGTGGATGGTGTTAACTTATTGGGTTTATCTGTTGCCTCTCTGGTGGGTCGTGAGGAAGCGGGCCTTCCCCTGGTTGATCCCTGACGCACATAGTCGTGGGGGAACCTTGGACGACCCGAGGTGGTCTTGGGGGCCCCAGGGAGGTCGTGGGGGGCGGCGCTCCTGAAGGAGGAGCTGCCCCGCAGACTGAGATGTCTGCTGTGTGAAGGGCTGCGGGTGCTGGGGGCTTGGTGAGGCGTCTCTGGCGTGGTGGTGGCGGTGCTGGGCATGTTACTGTGGGAGGAGGAGGAGCTGGTGCTGTGGGAGGTGGTGGAGTACTGTTGGTCCTTGGAGGGCGGTGGCTCCTGTCTCTGTGTTGTGCTGTGTTCCTGGCCTTTACTCTCCTGCTGTGTCACACTGTACCCTGTAGACCCTACTTCCTGGCACTGTGTTCTGCTGTAACCCGGCGACTCGCCGTCTGGGTGCTGTACCCTACTGTACTCGCCCGACACCTTGCTGTGTTGCTGTGTTGTACCGTACAGTGATGAACCATTGTGTCTGTGTTGCGTTGTGGTGAATGCTGAGCTGCTGTTTTGGTGGTGTGGTGTGGTGTAGGTGGACGGAGCACTGTCTTGCCGCTGGTGCTGGTGCTGCAGGTGTAGGCGAGAGATGGAGGCGGGTCCCGCAGCATCATATCTCTGTGGGTCTGGCCGCAGAGGTCCGTGGAAGCTGCTGCGGCGAGGTGGGTGGCTGTGGCAGGCGCCACCACAGCCTCTGCTGTCGTCTTGGTCGTGGTGGTGGCAGCAGTCTGCGCCCTGACAGCTCAGCGCTGCGGGGCACTGGTGCCCTGCGCTCTGCGCTGCGCTGAGAGCGGGCCGAGGGCGCTGTAGTGTGGCGAACTGCGATGTCGTGGCTCGTCTGCTGCGAGGTCCCAGCGTGGCGTACCCCAGAGGCGGCCCTGTGGGAGAACCACTCCAATATGTTAATATCCTGTATTACTCACAATGTTAAGTACGACATTCAAAAACTATTTGAGTATACCCGAGAATTCCGTTTACAGAAAACTAAATTCTGCAAAGAAAATGTTTTCATCATAGTGTTTATATTTTAAACTAACATCACAAACATCTAGATAACTATCCAGCTGGTTAGAGGGGGGGGGGGAGTTCTCATGATAATAGACTTGCTCTGAGGACGGGCTTCAGGTGTAGGTCCAAAGCTGCATCTAGATTCAGTTCGTATCTAATTCAGCTTTATAAATATCTATACTACAACACTTACAATGTTATGTTTAATAAGAACATGGCCGGATTAACTGTTCATTATAGACACAACTGTTAATGTCAGAGAATAAGATGATAACATGTTATCATGGTATGATAAGATGATAACATGTTATCATGTTATGATAAGATGATAACATGTTATCCTGTTATTCATACAGTGCGGCTCACCAGAAGTAAGTGAGGCGTGGCCACAGCGGGTGTCGAAGTAGTCTGCGCTGAGGGTGTACAGGCTAGACGGGTTGAGACTCGTGTACGTCTGTTGCTGCTGCTGTGTCTGCTGGTCACTCTGCTGCTGGTGGTATGGGCGGCCCTGGTAGAGTGGTTGTGGGCGTGAGGAAGGGTGGTGAGGACACCCAGGAGGCGGCAGTGGGCGGACGTAGCCCTGGGAGTAGGTCCGGGAGTGGCTACTCTGATAGGAGCAGACGGACACCTGATCGTCTGCTGGTAGTGATCCTGAGTCTCTCCTCTGCTGCTGCTCCTGCTGCTGCTGCTGGAGGCTGGCGGGGTGGGTATCATAGGTGCTGGAAGCCAGAGAGCAGACCTCAGGGTTGGTATGAGGGTGGATATGACCCGGGATCCTGCCATTCAGGGACGTAGCAGCAGGGGATATACCACCGCTGCTACACGTCTGTGAGGGTATACCCCCATTACCATGTGTCTGTGGCGTCGGTACAATGCCGTTCTCCCTCACAGACCCGACACTCTGACCATTCCCACTGGCGGTCCTCGCCACCAGCCCACCATTACGAGGGGAAGAGCCGCTGTTCTTCCTGTTAAGTCCACCATTTTGCAATTGTGTGAGAGTAGGTTGGCTGCCCGCTGTGGAGGACGCCGCCGACCCTCTCCTGGCGCCCTCTTTCACCAGCGACTGATCCTCCTGTAGACCAGGTGACACCTCACATGACAACAGAAACGAGAATTACATTGTGTATATGATCCCCTCATGGGAGCTGCTCCAGTGAATAATGAAATATCTATATAAAGGAGAGAGAGCGAGAGCGAGAGAGCGAGAGAGCGAGAGAGCGAGAGAGCGAGAGAGCGAGAGAGAGAGAGAGAGAGAGAGAGAGAGAGAGAGAGAGAGAGAGAGAGAGAGAGAGAGAGAGAGAGAGAGAGAGAGAGAGAGAGAGAGAGAGAGAGAGAGAGAGATAGAGAGATAGAGAGATAGAGAGATAGAGAGATAGAGAGAGAGAGAGAGAGAGAGAGATAGAAAGATAGAGAGAGAGAGAGAGAGAGAGAGAGAGAGAGAGAGAGAGAGAGAGAGAGAGAGAGAGAGAGAGAGAGAGAGAGATAGAGAGATAGAGAGATAGAGAGATAGAGAGATAGAGAGATAGAGAGGGAGAGAGGGAGAGAGAGAGGCAGAGAGAGAGAGAGATAGAGAGATAGAGAGATAGAGAGATAGAGAGGGAGAGAGGGAGAGAGAGAGGCAGAGAGAGAGAGAGATACCAAACCACGCACTAGAAGGTGAAGGGACGACGACGTTTCGGTCCGTCCTGGACCACTCTCACAATCGACTTGAGAATGGTCCAGGACGGACCGAAACGTCGTCGTCCCTTCACCTTCTAGCGTGTGGTCTGGTCAACATTACCATGTTAATTCAACCGAGAGAGAGTGAATGAGAAGCTTAACTGACCTTGGAGGTGGTGAGAGTGTTGGAGAGATCGCTGGAGTTGGTGGTGGAGAGGGAGAGGAGTAGCTGGTGGTGGTGGATGGGGGTGGGTGTGGGCGGCGAGGAGCCTCCCCCTGTCTCATACCTCGCCCTCTTGCTCGGTGACCCCACCACTGAACACCAACACAACCACACAGTTAGTTGACTGACAGTTGAGAGGCGGGACCAAAGAGCCAGAGCTCAACCCTCGCAAGTACAACTAGGTGAGTACATCTAGGCTCTTTATTTAGCTCAGAAACACTACAGTAAATATTGAAAGTCATCGTAGTAAAGACAGAACTATAGCCATGCTTCCTACTTTACCACAGAGTATAATGTAATTATATTACATTATACCTTGAAATAATCCTCAAATTATGCTACCATCTACCTCTTTATATCTCTCAAATTATACTACCATCTACCTCTTTATATCCCTCAAATTATACTACCATCTACCTCTTTATATCTCTCAAATTATACTACCATCTACCTCTTTATATCCCTCAAATTATACTACCATCTACCTCTTTATATCCCTCAAATTATACTACCATCTACCTCTTTATATCCCTCAAATTATGCTACCATCTACCTCTTTATATCCCTCAAATTATACTACCATCTACCTCTTTATATCCCTCAAATTATGCTACCATCTACCTCTTTATATCTCTCAAATTATACTACCATCTACCTCTTTATATCTCTCAAATTATACTACCATCTACCTCTTTATATCCCTCAAATTATACTACCATCTACCTCTTTATATCTCTCAAATTATACTACCATCTACCTCTTTATATCTCTCAAATTATGCTACCATCTACCTCTTTATATCCCTCAAATTATACTACCATCTACCTCTTTATATCTCTCAAATTATGCTACCATCTACCTCTTTATATCTCTCAAATTATGCTACCATCTACCTCTTTATATCTCTCAAATTATACTACCATCTACCTCTTTATATCCCTCAAATTATACTACCATCTACCTCTTTATAACCCTCAAATTATACTACCATCTACCTCTTTATATCCCTCAAATTATGCTACCATCTACCTCTTTATATCTCTCAAATTATACTACCATCTACCTCTTTATATCTCTCAAATTATACTACCATCTACCTCTTTATATCTCTCAAATTATACTACCATCTACCTCTTTATAACCCTCAAATTCTACTTTAATGTACCTATTAATCTTTCTCAAATTTTCATATGTACCTGATAACTTTTTTTTTAAATTTTGCTAGAAGTCACCTACTTAAAATTATCTGTTGGATTAATTACCCGCCTGAAAGGCTATGCGTGCTAGTGGCTTTACAAGAACGCTATGCGTGCTAGTGGCTTTACAAGAACGCTATGCGTGCTAGTGGCTTTACAAGAACGCTATGCGTGCTAGTGGCTTTACAAGAACGCTATGCGTGCTAGTGGCTTTACAAGAACGCTATGCGTGCTAGTGGCTTTACAAGAACGCTATGCGTGCTAGTGGCTTTACAAGAACGCTATGCGTGCTAGTGGCTTTACAAGAACGCTATGCGTGCTAGTGGCTTTACAAGAACGCTATGCGTGCTAGTGGCTTTACAAGAACGCTATGCGTGCTAGTGGCTTTACAAGAACGCTATGCGTGCTAGTGGCTTTACAAGAACGCTATGCGTGCTAGTGGCTTTACAAGAACGCTATGCGTGCTAGTGGCTTTACAAGAACGCTATGCGTGCTAGTGGCTTTACAAGAACGCTATGCGTGCTAGTGGCTTTACAAGAACGCTATGCGTGCTAGTGGCTTTACAAGAACGTATAAACAGCACTGCTATGTACTCTCATAATCCAATGTACCTTCTTGTATATATATAAATAAATAAATAATAATAAATGCACATGACAAAGAGAGTTGGTCCCAAGATGGAACCTTGCGGTACTCCATCACATTTTCCAGTCATATTTATTTATAATAATAATAATAAATAAATAAATATTTATTTAGGTAAGGTATATACATACAAGAGATTTTACAAAGAATGATGGATTTATAGATAGAGCTAGTACATACAATGCCTAAAGCCACTATTACGCAAAGCGTTTCGGGCATGAAAATTTACATTTAGGATTGGTAATATCATTGTGAGACATCAAGGAGGTAAGCCAAGTTCAAAAAGAATCTCAGAGTCTGTCTCATTATTTCCCAGATTGTCTCTCATCTGAATATACAGACGAAGAGTCACAATAACTTGACTGAAATATGTTGACCAGACCACACACTAGATAGTGAAGGGATGACGACGTTTCGGTCCGTCCAGGACCATTCTCAAGTCGACAATCAACTTGTGAATGGTCCAGGACGGACCGAAACGTCGTCGATCCTTCACTTTCTAGTGTGTGGTCTGGTCAACATCTGAATATCACTTGAGTCTCACCTGAATCCCGCCCCAAGGTCGTCGAAGTTTGCCCCTGTGTCTCCAACAATTCTCATTAGAATTATACCTGTTCTAGTTAAGTGAGAGCGAGTCATGTGAGTGTGACTCAACTCTCTGCGTCACACTCCCAAAAGTTCCCTATGAAACCGAACTATTTATTATAACCAATGAAGGTGAGGCTGCTGACATGGAGCCCCTAGTCTGACCTGAGGAGTGCCTGGTGATGGAGCGCCGCCGACGGACGAAGCAGGCGATGATAGCGATGTTGAGGACCAGCAGAGCTGCTCCAGTTAGTGTCATGATCAGCAGTATGAGGCGAGGGACGCGCCACCTGCTGCTGCTGCTGCTGCTGCTGGACACACCTGTACACACACACACATACCTCACTCCTCAAAGGAAAGAGCACTCACCTTCCATGCAAAAATGCAACTTTTTTAACGTCAAGATGATACAATGTTGTACCAAAGTCAAGGTATTACTGTTGTACCATTGTCAGGCTATCAAAACGCTGTGTCAAAGTACTGAAAAGTTGTACCAAAGTCAAGGTATTACTATGCCGTACCAACATGGTATTACAACGTTGTACCAACGTAAACTATCAAATAAAGAACTTGTTACGAGTTTACAATAAGTCCAAGCAAGGAAAGAGCTCAAACGTCAGGACATTTGAAGAATTTTGGAGACCAGGTTAATGAGATCCGGACTGATTTTGGTTAAGCCGTCCCAGGATGTCTGGTGGACAGTGACCATGGAGGGTGACCATGGAGGGTAGACACTGACCATGGAGGGTGACCATGGAGGGTAGACACTGACCATGGAGGGTGACTAGGAGAGGCGGAGAGAGGTACTCAGAGACGCCCTGGTCGTTCCTAGCCATGATACTGAAGAAGTACTCAGCTCCGGCCCTCAGCCCTCCTAGGGTCGTCCCGGCTGTATGACCTCCGGAGATCTCCACAAACTGTAACAACAAAATAACTATGAAACATTCCATATTTCCTGGATGATATCTCAAACTTCTTAAGTGCTAAAACTCTATATATATATCCATTATTTATAGGCGGTTCCTATATATTATTTATAGCCAGTTCCTGCTAGTTTAGTGCTAAAATTGTATATATCAATTATTTATATGTCAGTGAATCAAACGTTATGTAGATGTACGGAAAAAAGATTTTCGGATCATCTTGTCTTGTGTTTATCTCTTTCAACATCCTGGTACTTGGTGGTACCTGCTGGATGGTACCTGTCCTGGCCATACCTGGCAGTTCATGGTACCTGTCCTCCCCATACCTGGTAGTTGGTGGTACCTGTCCTCCCCATACCTGGCAGTTCATGGTACCTGTCTTCCCCATACCTGGTAGTTGACGGTACCTGTCCTTCCCATACCTGATAGTTCATGGTACCTGCTGGACGGTGCCTGTCCTCCCCATACCTGGTAGTTCATGATACCTGTCTTCCCCATACCTGGTAGTTGACGGTACCTGTCCTCCCCCATACCTGGTAGTTCATGGTACCTGTCCTCCCCATACCTGGTAGTTGATGGTACCTGCTGGTCGGTACCTCACGGTGTAGCCCCGAGGAAGACCACCACTGAAGTTCGGCGTCCAGGCCAGAGACACCGACGACTCAGTCATATTCGTCACCTGAGGGAGAGAGAGAGGTGACAAGTGACAAGTGAGAGAAGGTGAGAGAGAGAGAGAGAGAGTTATCAAGGGGAAAGCGCCAAGCCACGACGACTATATAGCCCTGGGAAGGCGGTCAGGATAAGGATTTGGGATGGGATTGAGAGGGACGCAACTACTTGGAGAGAAGGTGAGAGACAGAGTTTGTTTACAAACATTCTATCTCACACGTGTCAAACACCCACACTTCGCTACCACATATAACTCACATATAGTCTCATATTCCACATATATATTGACATACTACTAATCTACAATGACTCATAGACACCCTTACGGTGAAGTTGAAGGGAGTGTGCGGGCGTGCGGGCGGATGGAGAGCGATATGGGCGGCGTCGGAGCCCAGGGGGTTGTGGGCGGTACAGATATAGTGGGCGTAGTCCTCCGTGGTGACCGCCCGCACCTCTAGCACCCCCGCCCACACGACCAGCCCGTCCACCAGCTGCTGGTGATACACTCTCACTGTAATACTCTCATATGTGACGTCTCCCGTATACTGACTCACAGTCACGGATGATGGTAAGATGCTAGAGAGAGAGGGGGAGAGAGACAGAGAGAGAGAGAGACACACACAGAGAGACAGAGACACAGAGACAGAGAGAGACAGAGAGAGACACAGAGAGTTCACCCACCTGGGGGTCGTGGATGACATACTTCTCACTAGTGTCAAGTATCCGCCCATTATGGGTGGTCCAGACGAAGGTGGGTGCCGGAGCGGCCCTCACCCGACACACCAGTCGCCCCTCGCCGCCCACAGCCGCCCACGACGCCCCCAACGCTCCACCATCCTCCGTAGCCACCGTCGGAGCCTCTAAGTCAACACACGAAGTATTAGTGACCATGTCCCCGTCTCTCAAACCTGCGTCAGTACTCTCAACCAGAGGGACAGTATTGATCAGTATATAGAGACAACACTGTCATACAGTGTGTCATACAGTGTCATACAGTGTCATACAGTGTGGCATACTGTCATAAAGAAGGTGTCGACTCACGGGTGACGATAACTTTGGTCTTGACGGGCGGAGGTGACGACACGAGGTTGGAGGCGTGGCAGAGATACACGCCCGTGGCCGCCCACGTCGTCTCTTCCAGCACTAGGCGTGCCACGCCCACGCCCGTGCTCAGGGTCTCTGCCGTGCTGTGGGTGGGGGGGGGGGGGAAGGTCATTACAATCATACAAACATTGGTGTATTTATGTCAGTACTGGAGGTGTGTGTATGACACGTATGATAGACTGGTTGGTACTGGGACATTGTGAGTAGTGAGAGGTGTGGTGTACGTGGCCGGGTGTGGCTCACCTGTTGTGGGTGTACCTAGTCCATGTGTGGGTGTGGCTCACCTGTTGTGGGTGTGCCTGGTCCATGTGAGAGTGTGGCTCACCTGTTGTGGGCGTGCCTGGTCCATGTGAGAGTGTGGCTCACCTGTTGTGGGCGTGCCTGGTCCATGTGAGGGTGTGGCTCACCTGTTGTGGGCGTGCCTGGTCCATGTGAGAGTGTGGCTCACCTGTTGTGGGCGTGCCTTGTCCATGTGTGGGTGTGGCTCACATGTTGTGGGTGTGCCTGGTCCATGTGAGAGTGTGGCTCACCTGTTGTGGGTGTGCCTGGTCCATGTGAGAGTGTGGCTCACCTGTTGTGGGCGTGCCTGGTCCATGTGTGGGTGTGGCTCACCTGTTGTGGGTGTGCCTGGTCCATGTGAGAGTGTGGCTCACCTGTTGTGGGCGTGCCTGGTCCATGTGAGAGTGTGGCTCACCTGTTGTGGGCGTGCCTGGTCCATGTGAGAGTACCTGGTCCATGTGAGGGTGTGGCTCACCTGTTGTGGGTGTGCCTGGTCCATGTGAGAGTGTGGCTCACCTGTTGTGGGCGTGCCTGGTGCATGTGAGAGTGTGGCTCACCTGTTGTGGGTGTGCCTGGTCCATGTGAGAGTGTGGCTCACCTGTTGTGGGTGTGCCTGGTCCATGTGAGAGTGGGCGGTGGGTTACCAGTAGCAGAACACTGAAGGGTGGCCGCCCCTCCCTCTCCCACAGTCACTCTCTCTGCCGACTCAATATTCTCAGGTCCGTCTGTTGAACACTAAAACTTTAACCATGTGTTACAAAGAGACGCGTTTCGCTGACTCTTGTCAACATTATCAAGAGCATAGGTCAAGCGAGCAGGTTTCTGTCTATCATTTTGTCAAGCAGAGGTAGAAAGGTTCATGGTAGAAATCCCAAGCTAGTACTCCATCATAGATATGACTTGTGAGGTGTAAGGTTTTAGACTTATGTTGTCATCTAAGTTGTCTCTATCCTACGAGTAGTCCCTCTGTCCCCTATCCTACCAGTAGCCCCCTGTCCCTAAGGGATACTCACACATAACGTTCAGGAGGAAAGAGGCGTTGACAGCGCCCCTGGGGTTATAAGCGTTGACGGAATAGTTGCCGGAGACGTCCCTGTTGACGGCGCCAAGTCTCAGCTCCCCTTCAGTAGCCTCCAGGGTCACCTCTCCGCGCCTCCACCAGTACCTGGAGGGGTACCAGGTACCTGTACCCTCTAGTACCGGTATTATTTACCTGCCTCGACGTACCTGTCCGCCTTTACTTGGGGCAGGAGTATTCTATCATGTATTATACTGTGTTATACACTGATACATACTTTTAGAATGTTTATACATGACTGAGGAGGTGTCTGCTGGAAGAGCAGAGTTTGTATGACCTGCTGGAGCCTCGGCAGAGTGCTGGGAAAGGAAGTATACGTGTATGAGACGTGTTATACAACGTGTATGAGACATGTATACCTGAGGGGTCCAGGGTTGGCGGCGGCGGAGGCGGTAATGACCAATTGGGCGCCCTCGTACACGTCCAGGTGTTCAGCTGGTCGTACCACCCATACTGGTGAGTCTGGGGGGGGGGGGTGTACGTTAGTCTCCGTTTATACAAACACAAATACGTACACACACACACATAGTTGATTGACAGTTGAGAGGCGGGACCAAAGAGCCAGAGCTCAACCCCCGCAAGCACAACTAGGTGCGTACACACACACACACACAACTATATTTCGGTCAAATATAAACAAACTAACAAACTATATTTATCAAACAACTATTCCTCGTATATATTAACATGATTATATTTAATCCTATTTTCGTAAACACACATTAATTACAAATTAAGACATATAAAGCATTTATTGTTGGACCAACTGAGGAGAGGATGGCGTCCTTGGTGGGTGGGGGAGGGGGGAGGGGGTGCTAGATAAGTTGTGTGGGGGTTGGGGCCAGATTCACGAAGCAGTTACGCAATCACTTACGAAGCTGTCCATCTTTTCTCAATCTTTGGCGGCTTTGTTTACAATTATTAAACAGTTAATGAGCTCCGAAGCACCAGGAGGCTGTTTATAACAATAACAACAGTTGATTGGCAAGTTTTCATGCTTGTAAACTGTTTAATGTAACCAAAGCCGTCAAAGATTGAGGAAAGATGTACACGTTCGTAAGTGCTTGCGTAACTTCTTTCGTGAATCTGGCCCTTATACATCTTTCCTCAATCTTTGACGGCTTTGGTTACATTTATTAAACAGTTTACAAGCAGGAAAACTTGCCAATCAACTGTTGTTATTGTTATAAACAGCCTCCTGGTGCTTCCGAGCTCATTAACTGTTTAATAATTGTAAACAAAGCCGCCAAAGATTGAGGAAAGATGGACAGGTTCGTAAGTGCTTGCGTAAGTAATTGCTTCGTGAATCTGGCTCCAGATGAAGGGAACACGTGTCGTAAGTCAAAGGATAAGAGGTGTAGCGAGTCCCCGCTATGTTGAACATGCAGGATGTGAACGTCGTACTCACGGAGCACATTGAGGACCAGCTTGGCATCGAGGACCACTCCCAGACCATTATTGGCCTCACAAGTGAAGCTTCGCCCATTATCTTCAGCTGTAGTCGACACCTGCAGCTCCGACCTGTGAGAGAGAGATTGTTAGATGAGGCATTGTCACTCACACACTCTCTCTCACTCTCTCATTAACGCACCTAGTGTGAGTGCCGCCGTAGAGTCCCGGAGTGGTGGTGACGACGGCGCCCTGGAGGGTGGCCTTCTGTGACCTCCAGGTGATGCTTGAGGGCGGGAGACTTGAGGAGGTGTCGCAGGTGAGGGTCACAACCTGATCTTCCTCGACTGTGCTGGGCCGCACGCTGCCAGTCACCTCCCACGGCGGAACTGTGGGTGGGTAAGTCAGGTTACTGTGTGGGTAAGTCAGGTTACTGTGGGTGGGTAAGTCAGGTTACAGTGTGGGTAAGTCAGGTTACTGTGGGGGTAAGTCAGGTTACTGTGGGGATAAGTTAGGTTACAGTGTGGGTAAGTCAGGTTACAGGGGGGGTAAGTCAGGTTACTGTGTGGGTAAGTCAGGTTACAGTGTGGGTAAGTCAGGTTACTGTGGGGGTAAGTCAGGTTACAGTGTGGGTAAGTCAGGTTACAGGGGGGGTAAGTCAGGTTACTGTGGGGGTAAGTCAGGTTACAGTGTGGGTAAGTCAGGTTACTGTGTGGGTAAGTCAGGTTACTGTGGGGGTAAGTCAGGTTACTGTGGGGGTAAGTTAGGTTACTGTGGGGGTAAGTCAGGTTACAGTGTGGGTAAGTCAGGTTACAGTGTGGGTAAGTCAGGTTACAGTGCGGGTAAGTCAGGTTACAGTGTGGGTAAGTCAGGTTACAGTGTGGGTAAGTCAGGTTACAGGGGGGGTAAGTCAGGTTACAGTGTGGGTAAGTCAGGTTACAGTGTGGGTAAGTCAGGTTACAGTGTGGGTAAGTCAGGTTACAGTGTGGGTAAGTCAGGTTACAGGGGGGGTAAGTCAGGTTACTGTGTGGGTAAGTCAGGTTACAGTGTGGGTAAGTCAGGTTACTGTGGGGGTAAGTCAGGTTACAGTGTGGGTAAGTCAGGTTACAGTGTGGGTAAGTCAGGTTACAGGGGGGGTAAGTCAGGTTACTGTGTGGGTAAGTCAGGTTACAGTGTGGGTAAGTCAGGTTACTGTGGGGGTAAGTCAGGTTACAGTGTGGGTAAGTCAGGTTACAGTGTGGGTAAGTCAGGTTACAGTGTGGGTAAGTCAGGTTACAGTGTGGGTAAGTCAGGTTACAGTGTGGGTAAGTCAGGTTACAGTGTGGGTAAGTCAGGTTACAGTGTGGGTAAGTCAGGTTACTGTGGGGGGTAAGTCAGGTTACAGTGGGGGTAAGTCAGGTTACAGTGTGGGTAAGTCAGGTTACTGTGGGGGGTAAGTCAGGTTACAGTGGGGGTAAGTCAGGTTACAGTGTGGGTAAGTCAGGTTACAGTGTGGGTAAGTCAGGTTACAGGGGGGGTAAGTCAGGTTACAGTGTGGGTAAGTCAGGTTACAGTGTGGGTAAGTCAGGTTACAGGGGGGGGAAGTCAGGTTACAGTGTGGGTAAGTCAGGTTACAGTGTGGGTAAGTCAGGTTACAGGGGGGGTAAGTCAGGTTACAGGGGGGGTAAGTCAGGTTACAGTGTGGGTAAGTCAGGTTACAGTGTGGGTAAGTTAGGTTACTGTGGGGGTAAGTCAGGTTACAGGGGGGGTAAGTCAGGTTACAGGGGGGTAAGTCAGGTTACAGTGTGGGTAAGTCAGGTTACAGTGGGGGAAGGGTACGGCCACTCAAACACACACTCACACACACAAGCACATCAAATAAGAGAGACAGACACAGGCACTAAGGCAGACAGAGACCAACTAAGGCAGACAGAGACCAACTAAGGCAGACAGAGAGCAACTAAGGCAGACAGAGACCAACTAAGGCAGACAGAGACCAACTAAGGACAGAGACCAACTAAGGCAGACAGAGACCAACTAAGGCAGACAGAGACCAACTAAGGCAGACAGAGACCAACTAAGGCAGACAGAGACCAACTAAGGCAGACAGAGACCAACTAAGGCAGACAGAGACCAACTAAGGCAGACAGAGACCAACTAAGGCAGACAGAGACCAACTAAGGCAGACAGAGACCAACTAAGGCAGACAGAGACCAACTAAGGCAGACAGAGAGCAACTAAGGCAGACAGAGACCAACTAAGGCAGACAGAGACCAACTAAGGCAGACAGAGAGCAACTAAGGCAGACAGAGAGCAACTAAGGCAGACAGAGACCAACTAAGGCAGACAGAGACCAACTAAGGCAGACAGAGACCAACTAAGGCAGACAGAGACACAAACAAAGAGATAATAAGAGAAAAGTCTGCAGAAGCGCTCTTACGAAGTCTGCCTAAAAATGCAGACAATCTCCAAATGTCAAAATAAAAGACTTATCGTACACTCGGAGGCAATTTCCAACATTTTCTAAATACCTTTTTTAAAGACTTAAGTTTTCTCTGTGATAAGAAAGTTTGCTGAGAACTTTTGAGAGCTATAAAGTTTGAATGGTTTTATATCGGTGTTATATCATAGTGATCTCTGGCCCTACCACACAGGAAATGGTTATCTTGAGGTTATCTTGAGATGATTTCGGGGCTTTAGTGTCCCCGCGGCCCGGTCCTCGACCAGGCCTCCACCCCCAGGAAGCAGCCCGTGACAGCTGACTAACACCCAGGTACCTATTTTACTGCTAGGTAACAGGGGCATTGGATGAAAAAAACTCTGTTCATTGTTTCTCGCCGGCGCCTGGGATCGAACCCAGGACCACAGGATCACAAATACAGCGTTCTGTCCGCTCGGCCGACCGGCTCCATCATACTGTTAGAAATGTATAGATTTCTTGTACTAATTGCTGGGAAGATCACTGTGCTAGTACTGGCACTATACCTTGCTGTTGTTCCGGGGCTTAGCGGCCCCGCGGCCCGGTCCTCGACCAGGCCTCCTGGTTGCTGGCCTGATCAACCAGGTTGTTGAACGCGGCTGGTCGCAGCTTGACGTATGAGTCACAGCCTGGTTCATACTACGATAACTACGTCTACCGGGAGCCGGTCGGCCGAGCGGACAGCACGCTGGACTTGTGATCCTGTGGTCCTGGGTTCGATCCCAGGCGCCGGTGAGAAACAATGAACAGTTTTTTTCATCCAATGCCCCTGTTACCTAGCAGTAAAATAGGTACCTGGGAGTTAGTCAGCTGTCACAAGCTGCTTCCTGGGGGGTGGAGACCTGGTCGAGGACCGGGCCGCGGGGACACTAAAGCCCCGAAATCATCTCAAGATAACCTCAAGATAACCCCCACTACGACTACCACTAGAACAAGGCAGCGTGCAGGCTAAGGGCGCAGCAGTACTCACAGAAGAAAAAAGTCCACTACGGGCTCACCATAGCCCGTGCTGCTTGGAACTTTTTGTTCCAAGTAGCGAATGTTTAACAACAAGAGCAGTACTCACAGAGGACGGAGAGGTTGTGAGAGGTGAGGAGCGGTGTGAGGGTGGCCGGGTTGTGAACCTCACACTTCACTTCCACACCGTTATCGGCCGGTTGGACCTCCACCTCCAGCACGGCCTTGCTCACTCCACCCTCAAGGGTGACCTCGGCGGCCATCTCTTGCTCCCCCTTGTACACCCTGTCAGGGACACGTCACAGTGAGAGACACACACACACACAGGGAGACACATGTGTCACGTCATGCCTCTTGCCTCTCTTGCTCCCCCTTGTACACCCTGTCAGGGACACGTCACAGTGAGAGACACACACACACACAGGGAGACACATGTGTCACGTCATGCCTCTTGCCTCTTAGTCAATGTCCCCCATCTTTAGCCCCTGGCTATCATTTCTGGGCTCCCTGGCCATCTCTAGGCCTCTGGCTATCATTTCTGGACCCCCTGGCCATCTCTAGGCCCCTGGCTATCATCTCTAGGCCCCCTGGCCATCTCTAGGCCCCTGGCTATCATTTCTGGGCTCCCTGGCAATCTCTAGGCCCCCTGGCTATCATCTCTAGGCCCCCTGGCCATCTCTAGGCCCCTGGCTATCATTTCTGGGCTCCCTGGCAATCTCTAGGCCCCCTGGCTATCATCTCTAGGCCCCCTGGCCATCTCTAGGCCCCTGGCTATCATTTCTGGGCTCCCTGGCAATCTCTAGGCCCCCTGGCTATCATCTCTAGGCCCCCTGGCTATCATCTCTAGGCCCCCTGGCCATCTCTAGGCCCCTGGCTATCATCTCTAGGCCCCCTGGCCATCTCTAGGCCCCTGGCTATCATTTCTGGGCTCCCTGGCCATCTCTAGGCCCCCTGGCTATCATCTCTAGGCCCCCTGGCCATCTCTAGGCCCCTGGCTATCATCTCTAGGCCCCCTGGCCATCTCTAGGCCCCCTGGCTATCATCTCTAGGCCCCCTGGCCATCTCTAGGCCCCTGGCTATCATCTCTAGGCCCCCTGGCCATCTCTAGGCCCCTGGCTATCATCTCTAGGCCCCCTGGCCATCTCTAGGCCCGTGGCTATCATCTCTAGGCCCCCTGGCCATCTCTAGGCCCCTGGCTATCATCTCTAGGCCCCCTGGCCATCTCTAGGCCCCTGGCTATCATCTCTAGGCCCCCTGGCCATCTCTAGGCCCCTGGCTATCATCTCTAGGCCCCCTGGCCATCTCTAGGCCCCTGGCTATCATTTCTGGGCCCCCTGGCCTTCTCTAGGCCCCTGGCTATCATCTGACCTCCCTGGCCGTCATCTGTGACCTCCAGACTTCCTCCCTGCACCATTAAGCGTGACCCTTGACCTCAAGCGTGACCCCTGACCCCCAGAACGTTACCTGTGTCGACGTACCTGACGGAAGGAGGCGGGTGACCTCCCACACTAACGCAGGTCAGGTCAAGGATGGTGCCGGCGACCAGTGCCTCGCTCAGCTCACTCTCAAACACCGGACGTCCAGCCGGTCCTGAGGGTCAACTGGTTATCAGAGTCACGTAAGTCATCAGGTAACTCTAACACTCATAATTGAACTCATTATGAGGGATTATACTACTTTTTTGGGGTCCCGGAGCAACAGCACAACTCCAGGGCTACTCGTACTTCTAATATTCGTACTACATGTTAACTCTGCGGGTGAAGTGTATTTATTACGGTTCCTGATAGTTTAGTTTCTGTGAGTGTTGTTACATCTCAAACCTTCTTCTGTGTCCGCACCCTTTGTTTGTTTACCATGTTTATAATCTCATTTTGCATTTGTGTACACAGATGGGAGAAAGGATCTGAACTTATATATGGCAACTGATAACTTAGTTATCAGTTGTCTGAAGTCAGTTATAAGTCGTCTGAACTTAGTTACGAAAGTTAAACAAAATATTATTATTATCAATATAAGCAAAAGTACATACAATAGATATATGAAACAGTGAAGAATTCCTTCATTATGGGTGTAAAGTTATCCTAGCGTCATCAATACATATTGACTTAGATAAGTGTGTGATGTGTAAAGCTACTTAGAAGGATCTACCGTATGCATCATAGTGAATGTGAGTGGTATAAGTAAACTTATCACACACAGAGATCACACTAACGTGATGCATCAAATGAACAAATCCACAAGGGCCGTGACGAGGATTCGAACCTGCGTCCGGGAGCATCCCATACACTGCCTTAATCGACTGAGCTACGACAGGGTTAAAAGGGTTGAAACCGAAGTTCTACTGAACTTAATGGATCCTTTTAACCCTGCCGTAGCTCAGTCGATTAAGGCAGTGTCTGGGATGCTCCCGGACGCAGGTTCGAATCCTCGTCACGGCCCTTGTGGATTTGTACAAGTAAACTTACTTATGAGAGTGACGGTAGTGACTTTCTTCACCACTCGCTCGATGGCGGGGTTGAGGGCCCGACACTCCACAGTGACGTGGGTGAGATTGGTGAGGGTGGGCACCACCTGGTGGGTGAGGTGGGTGGAGGTCACCCACCCACCTGAACCATCACGACCCACCACCGACTTGCTCCGGTCCTCTGGCTCTCCTGGGGGGCATAGGGGGATTGTGGGGGATAGGTTAGCTTAGGTTAGGTTAGGTTAAGATAGAAGCATTAGATAGGTTTAATATCTTAAAAACATCGCAGATACTCGTCTATACACACAATATACTCATGTATACACACACACAGGACTCATGTATACACACACACACAGGACTCATATATACACATACACACAGGACTCATGTATACACACACACTCAGGACTCAAGCATATACACACACACACAGGACTCATCTATACACACACAAGATACTCATGAATACACACACACAAGACACATATACACACACAAGCCACTCACGTATAGACACACATACTCACGTACACACACTTATACTCTGAGTCACTGACCCAAAAGTGCCAACAAATTACCTCCAAAAATAAAAGTGATTTACGTGAAAACAAAAACCTGAATATATTAAGACACAAGGCCACCCTGGATGGTCCAGGTGGTGGAGGATCACCTTGGATGGTCCAGGTGAGAGAGGCTGGAGGGTTCGAGTCGCTACTCTCACAGGTAAGGTTCAGGAGTCCACCAGCTTCCACCTGGGCAGGTCCAGTGATGGTGACGGTGCTCGGGGCGTCTGTGGACCAAACACACACATTAACTCACATATCTCTACCCCAAGGTAAACAAAGAATGTATATATATAATATATTTAGGACTCACAGTAAACAGTGAGAGTGACGTTAGCTGTGAGGGGGGACTCTAGGAGATCGCTGGAGACGTGACATTCATACATGGCGCCATCTTCCTGCGGCGTGACGGCCAGTTGATGATCGTTGACTACACTCTGCTCCTCCTGGGGGTCGTCGCCCCCTCGCACAGTAGTCGTGGTGTCGTCGACCAGTCGTCCCTGGCGGTACCAGAGTACCCAAGGCCGGGGGTTACCGCCTGACGACCTGCAGGTCAGAGTTCGACGCTCCCCAGCCAGTAATATCTCATCTGGGGCGTAGCCTGTGATAACTGGAGGTCCTGGGGCATCTGTAGGGTAAAATGGGTTAGTGAGGCAACTGTAGGGTAAGATGGGTTAGTGAGGCAACTGTAGGGTAAGATAGGTTACTGTGGGGAGGTATAGAGTACACAATAAACTAGCTAGAGTGCGACAGGTGTACATACGGAGGACAGAAAGGCTGACAGATGCGACAAGGGTGTTGTGAAGATGGCTGAGCGCCGGGTGAACTGCCTGACAGGAGAAGATCCGCCCGTCGTCACCTGGCGTGGCCGACACCTTCACCTGGCTCCTCACACTCCAACGTCTAGGTGAGGTGGACGGCTCCACACGATCCACTTGGCCCTCTGCGTGTGGAAGACGTGGGGAAGGATGCGTCAGTGTCATGGGCACAACCTACGAAATAATCCCTTTGTTTACATCTAAAAGTCCAAGAGTTGGAGTATTGGAACACTAGAAATGTCATTCCTAAATGTGGATCAGTAAGTATAAATCTCAGCTGATCTGATTTATGCATATATAAGCAATCTCTAGGACTAATTTATTACATGCATGTGACTCTTTGACTTCGGAAGTGAACCCACTCTTTTTGACTTCGGGCGTCAACCCACTCTTCGACTTCGGGCGTGAACCCACTCTTTGACTTCGGGCGTGAACCCACTCTTTGACTTCGGGCGTGAACCCACTCTTTTGACTTCAGGCGTGAACCCCACTCTTTGACTTCAGGCGTGAACCCCACTCTTTGACTTCGGGCGTGAACCCACTCTTTTGACTTCAGGCGTGAACCCCACTCTTTGACTTCAGGCGTGAACCCACTCTTTGACTTCAGGCGTGAACCCCACTCTTTGACTTCGGGCGTGAACCCCACTCTTCGACTTCGGGCGTGAAACCCACTCTTCGACTTCGGGCGTGAAACCCACTCTTCGACTTCGGGCGTGAAACCCACTCTTCGACTTCGGGCGTGAAACCCACTCTTCGACTTCGGGCGTGAAACCCACTCTTCGACTTCGGGCGTGAAACCCACTCTTTGACTTCAGGCGTGAACCCCACTCTTTGACTTCGGGCGTGAAACCCCACTCTTCGACTTCGGGCGTGAAACCCACTCTTCGACTTCGGGCGTGAACACACTCTTCGACTTCGGGCGTGAACGATATAGGCAACAAAAACATGACAGAAACATTACTTACCGAAAATTTCTTGCAGGACTGAATTCCAGCTCCTGGGACCTGGCTTTGGAAGTAGTGACTGACCTGGGTGGAGTAGGAGTCCCGCCCTGTACCAAGCAGCGGTGGGTGGAGGTCGAGCATCCTCTACCACACACTCGAGGGTAAGAATGGTTCCTTCCACCACCTCCACAACAGCTTCCTTGCCCCATCCGACCATCCACACCCGTGTCGGAGCCACTGTCAACACCCGCAGCACAGGAAGCTCACGTTACTACTCTGTAAAGTACTTAAACACACAAGTAAGGTTGGTACTCGGGAGGGTTGGTATTGACGGAAACTCTGCGGGTGGTACTGGGACATTAGGAAGGTACTGGGACATAAGGAAGGTACTGGGACATAAGGAAGGTACTGGGACAAGGTGAGGCTGATACTGTAACACAATGACAGTACTGTGACAAGTCAAGGATAGTGGTACTGGTACTCACAGAGCACTGTAACGTTGGCAGCGGCCCAGATAGGGGGACTGGTATCAGTAGGGCCAACTTGACACTGATACTCTCCATCTTCGGTAAGAGTCACGCCATTAATAACCAAATGATGTTCACCAATCTCCGGGTCCCCGGCGTACTGGTAGCGCGGGTACCCAGGTACCCCTCGGTCGAATCCTGCAGGGAAGGTGTGTGGAAGAATGGTAGCATGAGACGCCAGGTATGGTGAGGACAGGTCTGGGGAAGGTATCACAGTACTGCCACAAAGTATAGTGAGTCTATGCACCATATGTAGTGCTCATACTCTCTCCCATCACTATTCTATAACTCTGGCATGTATAACTTAGTAGGTTGATGACTGGTTAATCTCTCTCTCAGATGAGAGAGGCAGGGAGAGGTAGGGAGAGGTAGAGAGAGGTAGAGAGAGGTGAGGGAGGCAAGGGAGAGGTGAGGGAGAGGTAGAGAGAGGTAGAGAGAGGCAAGAGAGAGGTAGAGAGAGGCAGGGAGAGGTAGAGAGAGGTAGAGAGAGGCAAGGGAGAGGTGAGGGAGAAGCAGGTGTCGTACCTAGAGCGAAGCCATCTTTGGTCCACTGAGCCTTGCCCTCCTGGTGGTCCACCACACAACTGAGGAACACGTCGGCGCCCTCTGGCACCTCTACACTCTCTGGCCTCACACTGAACTCTTGCTGATGGCACACACCTGTGGAGACGTGTGGGGGGTTAGTGTGGGTGGTGGGCCACACCTGTGGGGGGTTAGTGTGGGTGGTGGTCCACACCTGTGGGGGTTAGTGTGGGTGGTGGTCCACACCTGTGGGGGGTTAGTATGCTGCTGATCCACACCTGTGGGGGGCTAGTGTGGGTGTGGACAATCTATCCACCTCAGATACACAGTTACTAATCCCACCAACAGATGGCGATAAATCATAATATTTACTAACAACAAACCGGACTAAGACAGGCTTAGTTACGCTAGTGGCTGGATTAAGCAGTTATTACCTATTTCACTCCGGTAGTCATCACCAAAAAAGGAGTTTCAGTATAAAGTGGAATGTTAAATGTAAATTGTCGTTAATACTAATGACTGGTCAGTGAGGATGATCGTTGACCTCAGCCAAGAGTAGTTATTACTGAACGACACCCGCTAAGGGTCATTAGTGGTCCTCCAGCAGTGAATGGTGACACGTCAAGGGTCATTAGTGGTCTTCCACTGGAGGTTTGGATTCACCTCGACAAGCTGCCGCCCAGGCTCAGACAGGCAGCAGTCAATAGGTCAACAACAGACAGACAGGCAGCAGTCAACAGGTCAACAACAGACAGGCAGCAGTCAACAGGTCAACAACAGACAGGCAGCAGTCAATAGGTCAACAACAGACAGGCAGCAGTCAATAGGTCAACAACAGACAGGCAGCAGCAGTCAATTTAAGGTTCAGCTCCTGTGAACAAGTTGATAATGACCTGTTTACTGCCTAACTAGGGCAGCAAGAGACACTACAACCATTAAGAACAAGCTACCCAGATGTAATACATCAACACAAGGCTCCGGAGACGACAGTCACTTACGAAATCTATACATCTTTCTTATTATGGTGGCTCTGTTTTTATTTATCAAACAGTTTATGAGCTTAGAGAATTTTAATAACAATACTACCCCTGGGGTTGTGATGTTCAATGTTCGTAAACTACATTGAACATTGAAGAATTGTTTGAACTTTCTTCAAGAAAGATGTACGGCCAAGAGACCGTTGCGGCAGCCAGGGAAGGCGGCGTCCCATTGGCTCTTAGTATCCAATCAGCGGCGGCTTCGCGTCTTGAGTGGAGATTTGAAAATTTGAAAGTGTTGGAGGACTGCGAGATCTATTGGACTGGACGGTAATTGTTGGTGACTACTGAGGGGCCGCCCACGCCTGGTGACTAGTGAGGGGGCCGCCCACGGCCAGTAAGGGGCCGCCCACGCCCAGTGAGGGGGCCGCCCACGCCTGCTGACAATAGGCTCCATAAAGCAGACATTTAGCGCGTGTTGACGCTGCTCTTGAAGCTGCTGCTGCTCCCCGCCCAATCACCACCACAACCACACAACCACACACGTCCTCTTGGTCTAGAATACCACCTTCTCACCACACTTTTCGCCTCTATTGAGGCCTGGGTACAGCAGGTTCTTCGCCCGGTCCTCCAGGCACCAGTAGAAGGCGGCCATTGAGAGTTTGTTTACATTATCATAATGGCTACTTCAGGCTTGTTTTTTGATGGGATCGTAGACCTTCTGGCCGGGTTGTAGCACTCTCTTGCCCACGAGGTTTGTTGACATAACCTTCTGGCTGGTTCGGTGGTTATGATACCGTAAGGTTTTCGACCTTATGGACGATTCTGAAGCATTATATTGGCTAAAATGGTGAGAATATTTTATAGT